TAATTATTATTATTATCATCATCATCATTATCAAGTTTTAATCCCTAGTTGTAGGTAATGTTGCCTTAGGCTTCAGATCCTCCTTACTATTGCTTTCTGAATTCTTTATGGAGGCTCAACCCCAGGGACTCTTCTCCTCCTTCCCTTAAGCCAAAGTTATGACCCCAGCCGTGCTGTCCTGAAAATGTTCTTGCTTCCTGTGGTACCACACTCAACAGGCGTGTACTCGCTCCTCCCCACCCACAGCGATAGCCCAAAATCACATCTGGTCAGTACTGCCAGGTCTGACTTCGAGAAACGGGGTTGGGGGGTTGTCAAGCTGGGGTGGGGGAGGAATCCTAGTCTTCCCCTAGTCTTCTGCTGTTCCCTAGATGAAAAGTTCCTGAGGCAAAATTTCTTAAGGCTGTGAGCATGGTGAAAGTTGAGGTGAAATTTCTAGAGGCCTAATCTGCAACCCTCAGGGCCCACTGTTTGTTAAATCAGTGGAGTTTGCCTAGAGGTGTTTACATTTCTTCAGGCCAACCTCACCCCCTGGCCTTTTCTCTGAGGTCCTCTCAAGTTGTTTTAGGAGGACAACTGCTTTACCCCTTTATTTTTGCTGGTCTATGTTCATTTCATTGTGATTTTCTGTCTGTTTGTGGAGGAAATCTGGAAAGCCTGGAAATTTCAGATCTATTTGCCATCTTCCCAGAATACCTCTTAGATTACATGACTTCTAAGGTACTTTCCAGCTCAAAATCTATGACCCTATGAATATATTTCAGGGAATATAACCCAGAATTTCACACTAATCTACAAATAATGCCAGCAGTATGAGCAGGTAGAGTATATTTGAGAAAAAACCTATGGTCCTCCCCCAAATCTCCCCAATAGCATATTTGAAATTATGCAATTAATGTCATTCCTTTTATTTAAATATTGCTCCTTATTAAAATGAAAATAATAAAGCCATTATCACATTTCTACTTCTGCATAAAATAGTTTATTAGGGCCTTTTTTATAGGTTAGCCAGCTAGGCACAAATTTTAAGAAAGTTGAATAGAGAAGAAGCAATATGGCAAGAGGTACCTGTTATCTAAGGTACCATGCTGGAAATAGAAGGCTTTGAAAAGGGAATTTGGAAAGTTCCTGAGGCAGACTTTATCAAAATTATCATCCTTACCACTGTTTTCATATCAGAATTTATGAACAATGTTTTCATTTGCTGTCACCTAACAAACACTCATAATCTCTAAAATAAATGGAAATCAAAGATTTCAATAGAAACTTTACACAGGAACTCAAAATCATTGAGCCTACAAGAGAATGGACTTAAATTCAAATATATTTTATTCAGCTTCAAAGAGCATGTATTTATCTACCTTTGCAATAGTCTAGAGACTGTTAAATATATATGTAAAAGAATAATCTCAGGCTGGCAACTTGTCCCAGAACAATCTCTATTTGAGTCTTATCAAAAAAATGATAAAAAATTAAATAATCATAAGAATAAGGATATAACTACAATGTACCTTCCAAGTATTAGAAAATTAGGAATATGTTTACCATATATAAAAGTTATAGCTTTTATCATTAAAACATCTATGAACATTTACAAAAATATAATATATTAGAAGAGGAGAAAGGAGGGTATACCAAAAATGGTATACCAGGCACTTCTTATAGGTTTATTAATTATTGAAGAGGGCACGTAGGTGGCACAGTAGATAGAGCATCAGCCTTGGAGTTGAGAGGACCTAAGTTCAAATCTGGCCTTAGACACTTCCTATCTGTGTGAACCTGGGCAAGTCACTTAATCCTGTTTCCCTGAATTTCCTCATATGTAAAATGAGCTGAAGAAGGAAATCCAATACCTTTGCCAAGAAAACCCCAAATGGGATAGTGGAAAGTCAGACACTACTGAAATAACTCAACAACAACAAAAATTATTAAACAAGCCACTCTGCTTTTATTGGTTTTGCAAAGCTTTCACTCAGTTCCACACTTGTGACTCATTGATGTCATGCAAATATATAAAATAGATCCAAGTACAGGGAAAATACTAGAATCTTTTAATATCTATGTGGAAAAACTGTTCTCTATTTGAATTATACCACCTACATAATAATGTCAGAAATAATCAATACAAAACATTACATTTTTTTCACGGAAAGAGTTTGAGGCCATTATGCTTCTGCCCAGCCATAATCCATCATCATCTCTAATAGAACTAAGTAAGACTTCCATGGAAAAAATAGAGTCAAACTAAAACATTGCTTGAGAATTATTTGGTGTACATGGATGTCAAAGACATCATGCTATATGGCAACACACACACACACACACACACACATGCACACCCCACCTGTCTTGCATCTTATGGAATTTTTTTCCCAAAGATTTCAAAATACTATTTGAATTCAGTAAGTGTAAAATTCTTAATACATGATGAGGAAAGATAGACTGATGACTTCAAGCTCAAATTTTGAGGCCAAATGAAACCAATGGATAAAAGTGGTACTTATCAGTACTTTGGTCTCCTCCAGTCAAAATAGCACTTCGCTATCATAGCATAAAGTTATCAAGGGAAAATTGCAATTGAGCAACTGAAAAAATCGAGGCTTTCTGGCTAATATAGGTATAGATTACAAAGTTCAATGGGAAGAACACATTTAAAGAAAATAGCACATACATAATACCAGCATTAATTTATACATTTGGAACAGTAATTTAAGACTATAATTGATTAGAAAAAAAATCTCATTTTTGTATTCTGAACTAAAAACCTGCACAATATTAATGAAACATAGGGCCCATCACCCAAGTCAGCTGTCTATGCAAAGGTCAACACTTCTTCACCAAAAAAGGAGGAAGAATATTAATAATTATTCTCACAGCACACATTATACCTGTCAGAAGCCTACAGAAATACATTTGCAGACATCAACTCACCAAGCAATATTAAAGACAAAAGGCATGAGAAACTGAATTTTTCAAATGTACACAAAACTGGTTTACCTCTGGGTAGAATCTACTAAACAACTTAGATCCAAGAGTAGAATCACAATGCCCTCTAAGATGATATTCAAATCAATAATATGTTGAGAAAGAAGTATCAAAAATGGCTAAATCATATGAGGTTGTTTACAGAAACACAAGTGTTTTAAAATAGCAATCAAGGATCAGGCTATTGCCACCAGAAATCCCAGAAAGGTTATCTTTAATGAAGTCAGATTTGTTAATCAATGAAGATTATGCAAGGGATCAATAGAAGTTGTGCAGTATATCACTGCAGGCTATAAAAATTTAGTTAACTACTGAATACCTAGCAAGACATGGCCAATAGAAATTATGCATTAAAAACTCATTGTCTTGCATGGGCTGACAGTTGAGAAATCACCACAATCATCACAAACACAGAAGGTAAAGTGAAGAATATTGTTGACCCAGTAGAAGGAAGAACTTCAGGACAGTTATCCAAAAATTAAATGTGCTACCTCATGAAATAATGAGCTGATTTTAACTAGAGTGCTCAGACATACAGTAGATGACACTGGTAAAATGGTTGTAAATAAAAGTCATGGTTTGAGTAAAGACTGTACTACATGACTTCTAAGGAGGTTCTTTTAGATATTAGTCAATGTCCCCAAAATCCAACAACATAAATTTTCCAAGGTTCTGCTCTACATGGCTCATCACTAATGAGAAAGGATATAAGCTAAATCTTGCCCTGTTCAAAAGATGAGAATGAATGTTGGGGACTAAATTTTCAACAAGCCCAGAAAGCCACAAGGTTAGTTATGCATTCACACATTTTAATGGGAAGCTATATATACTTTGAAAGGAAGTAATAAACAATATCTCTCCCAGGGTAATTGTAAAGCAACCAGACAAGTTGATTTTTTTTTGTTCCCAATACTAACAGAAATTTAAAAAAAACTTGTTTATATTTTTAACAAATAATTTGGGTACCTCAACATAGAGACAGCCAGGCTCAGAGTCAGGAGGACTGGAGTTCAAATCCAACCTCAGACATTTATATTATCTATGTGACCCTGAGCAAATCACTTAATCTCTGTTTGCCTCAATTTCCTGAACTGTAAAATGGGGATAATAATAGCACTTACCTTCCAGGGTTCTGGTGAAAATCAAATGAGAAAATAATTGTAAAGCAATTAGCACAGTGCCCTAGCACACACACACTTATCCCTTTCACATTGCAGGATTTAAGGGTGTGGTAACCCCAGGATCTTGAAAATCCACATGAAGGTTTTTGGTCTTCCCTTTGTACCAGAGAAGAAGTCTGAACTATGATAGTATTAGAAGATAAAATATGTTGATATTATACAATACTATACATATATTATGCATTTTTGAGTTTCTAAACTTTCTCTGTCATCTGCTGGCCTTCCACAATATTCCCAAAAAAATCCCATTTAATTTCTTACACTAACCCACAATATATCAAAGCTGTGATGGGGAAAGTGCCAATGTGGAAGAGATAACTATGTATGTGTATACTCATACATATATATGCATAGAGACATGTTGAATGTACATATGCATATACATATATATCAATATGTGATATGCATATGTGTGTACATATATGTGCATGTACATGCACATACATATAGATATTTATATATACAAAAAAATGTAAAAGACTGATCTAGTGTCCTATCCCTAGAGTTTGTCCTTCAGTTCCAGATAGGCATTGGATTCCAAGAAAAAAATTGATTACCACATCTCTATCACTTCTACTTAGACTAATCTGAGTAAACCATCACATCTATCCAATTGCAGTGAAAGAAAGCTACATCCCAAAATGGCGACTCTATTCATAATGATGGATTGATTTGTAAAGAGAACTCTATGATCTCTACCAATAAAGATGGACTTTTATTTATCAGAAATAGATAAATTCCACTTGAATTATGTAACTACATAGCATGTGTTTCACTTTATAGAATATAGAAATTGGCTTATGACACAACATTCTTATATGATGTTGAATTTAGTTTTTTTTAGGTCTATCTTTGGAATTCCTTCATTGATCCTTGTTCTGTTGCCAGCAACTTCTTCTGATTGTGAGATTGAAGATAAAAATAATACAATAGAAAATTATATGAATGTCTTATTTGTCAACATTCAACATTTGGTATGTAGTTGTTTTGTCTTCTTAATATTTTCATTTGTTGATAATTTTAAAATTGGTCTTTAGATATTAAAAATGTGAAGGTGTATAATATTCTTTTGTAAGAAAGTGAAATATCTATAAGATACAGATTAGAATTGCTGTTATTAATGATATGTGAATCTATACTTGTTATTTGTTAGTAGTCCCATTATTTTGTTGTGAAAAGTAATTTAGATTTAGAAAACCAGAGTTCTAGTTCCAGGCTTCAAGGCCAACTCTACAGTCTACACAATACTGCCTCTTAAGTTGGTAACTGTGAGTAAATTCCTTTGAGGCAGATACATGTTCATTTATCTTCATTTAGCCAAGGACTCCTATGTTTTTAAAAATTTTTAATGTTGCTTGAATAACATATCACAGTATCATAAATGAATAAATGAGTGAATGGATAGATGGATGAATGAAAATTCATTGCTATCTGCTAAGTACTGGAAATACAAATTTAAAAGTGGGACAATTTCTACTTTCAAGGATCTCATATTCTAATTAGGGACCATAATACTGAAAAGAAAATTCATGACAGAGTGGATGGAAAGGCCCATAAATCCTAAATGTAGGGGTGGTGGCAGATGGCAAGGCTCAAATTGTATCAGTAGTTTAGAGGCAGAGCAGATCTAGAGGACATAGGGAGTGGCAAGACATATGATGGTCCTTGATCTCCCTGGATGTAACTTCCATCTTATCCAATCCATGTGAGTAATAAAGCAGCTTGAATGGTTTTGAGGTGGATCCATCTAAGAGAAGAGCCAAAGGAGGAAAACAAAGGCTGGAGTAGGTACCCCCAGTGATAGTGGGTGTTTCATTCACCCAGCCATCCTGGATGTATTTTATTCTTCAAAATTTCAATGCAGCCATTCTCTCATTGGTTTGGGTACTCTCTCTTCTTTTAGTCATATAGATTTCATTAGTCCTCCATGCCATCTTAAATCTTCAATACTAATCATTCTTGAGCTCTCTGTTGACTGCCTTTTCTTCAGGATAGTCTTTCCTCCCTGGGTTTTCATGGCACTGCTCTTTTCTGGTTTTTCCTCTTTTCTTTCTGACCACTCTTCATTTCCCTTTATCCCTTCAACATCCATATCTTGCTAACTGTGGTTGTATCCCAAGGCTCAGTCCTATTCCGTCTCCTCTCTTTTCTCCATACTTTCTCACTGAGTAACCTTATCAGCCCTAGTAGCTTCAATTTCCATCTCTATTCCAATGGTTCCTGAGTCCATATATCCAACTTTAGTCTACCTCCTGAGTTTCAGTTACACATATCCCTCTGCCTGTTGGACATTTCAAACAGAATGTTCCATAAGCATCTAAAATTCAACACATCAAAAATAGAACTAACCTTTTCTTCAAAACCAACCACTCTGCTGAATTTCCCCATTACTCACAGGAGCACCACCATCCTGCCAGTCATTTAGGTCTGTAACTTCAATGTCATACTTAGTCCTTCATTCTCATTCATCCTGCATATCCAGTCAGTTGCCAAATCTCATCATTTCTGTCTCCATGGTGTCTCTCATACGTATATCCCTTTACCAATCACACAAATGCCACCCTAGTTCAGGCTCTCCTCACCTCTCACATGTGCTATTGTACAGCCTCCTTTGGTCTCCCTACCTCAAGTATTGTCCCTCTCCAATTCATCCTGCACACATTCACTTAACTGACTTTATTAAAGTGAGGTTCCACCATGTTATTCTCCCTACTTAATAAATTTAAGTGGCTCCCTGTTACATCTAGGACCAAAAATAAACTTCTCTTTTAGGCATTTGCATCTCTCTACAACGCCTCTCTCTACTACCTTTCTAGTGTTTTTTTATACATTTTTTTTTCCTCTCCACACACTACAATTCAGCCATACCCCTCTACTTTCTCTTCTACATATACAATGCTTCTCCCATCTCTGGGCCTTTGCACTGGCTCCTCCTTATGCTTGTGCAATATACTCTTCCCCCCCAGATTCCTTTCAGAATCTGTGATTTCCTTCAGGACTCGACTCAAAAAACTGCCTTCTACATGAAATTTCTCTTAATGCTTCCACCTCAAACTCTAGTGCACTCTCTCTCAAAACTACCTTAGGATTTATTTTGTCTACATTTTAAATATTTATAAATTTGCATGCTGCATCCTTCAATAGAACGTAAGTTCCTTGAAGGCAATGACTATTTCATTTTTGTATTTGTAGTACCAGGGATGATACATAGTAGGCACTTAATAACTTCTTGTTGATTGATTGCTTGATCGACTGTATAATTCTCCTCCATATCTTGTCATAAATTCTCCATAGAGGATTCACTCAATATGGTAGTGGACTTCCTCTGGTGGTTTTAATACTTTCAGACAACATGGTATTAATTTCATTATGCCTCAGAATACTACAGAACCCCTCTCTATTAAATCTATAGTTAGCACTGAAAATGGGGAATGAGCTAGGCCCAGAATTTAATAGGAGGAAGTCTGCATCTTCTTCAGTAGTTCAGGAATCTGTGACTTTGATGGTGTGTTCACTTCCATCTGTGATTTGGTAGATAATCTTCAAGAGTTGTCATGATTGAAAATTGCATTGCCTTGATGTAATGAGCCTCTTTGAAATTATTTATCTTGCTTCTTGGTCAAAAGAAATAACTGTCCATCACTGGGCCCATACTCAAAAGCCTTTTCTGCTTGTCAGAGTATTCCAGAACATGCCTAGCCTTTGAATATATAAAGTAAGCTCTATAGCATTGTGAGTCATCAGAATTGGGCTTTAGTGGCAGATGGCCAGGATTACATCTGAAAACTGTTCTTTGCTCTTAAACATGCCACACTTCTCCTGCCACAACAGCTCCATCTTTTGAACATCAGTGCTCACCTAGATGCTGTTGGCTTTGAACCATGGAACATGATGATCTTAGAAAAATCAAAATGGCAGGTGGCTTAAGAGGAAATAGAAAGATTCATGGTGGTTAGCTGTGGAATATTGCCCATTATGCCTTACACTCAAGAAGTAGTATAAAAAGACACTATCAAGCACATGTAAAAGGATTTGGGCCAAGAATGCTTGTGGTAGACCCTTAAAAGTGATGAATTATATGGTATAGTGGAAAGAATCAAAGAACTTGAGTTCAGAGTCTGTTTTTGGTATTTACAAGGTGTGTGACATTTTGCAAGTCATTTAATTTTCCTGGGCCTCACATTTCTCACCTCTAAAATGAGGGGAGTGGACTCTGATGCCATGAAGCACTAAAGCTATAAACCTTGTCATAATAAGTTATTTGTTGAGTTGACTTAAATGACGGATGATAAAACATTTTAATACTTTTATCAAAACAAAGTATGGGAAGGAACATACAATTGTGAGGAATGAATTGGACTAAGAGAGAGGTCAGATGCTAGTCTTGTGCTTGTTGTCTCCAAAGGCATTAATATATATACTTCTCATAATGTAACATATGGAGCTTGAAGTCCACTAAAACTTCCAGCTTTTTTTGAGGTGAACTTGCTATCTAGCTACACCCCACTCCCCCATCTTATACTTGTGAGGTTGACTTTTTGAAATAGATTGGAGGAAAAGAATAAGAAAGCATAAGAATGCATGTGGGTATTATGTTTAGTTAAAGGAACTGCAAATATTTGGCCTAGAGAAGGAAGATTTTATTTTAGGGGTAGGTAGTAAATAAATAAATAAAAGTCTAGTTGCTCCCTATCAGCCTCAGGATCAAGTCTAAAATCCTGTTTGGCTTTTAAAGCCCTTCATAATGTGGCCCCTTCCTACTTTTCTAGCCTTATTACACTCTCTTCCCATTCACAAACTTTACAGTTCGTTAACACTACCTTCTTGTTGTTCCTCACACAGAACCCTCCATCTCACCTCTGTGCCTGTCACTGGATGTTCCTCTATGCCTAGAATGCTCTTCTTCCACACCTCTGTCTCCTGGCTTCCCTGGCTTCCTTCAAAAACTAACTCAAATCTCACCTTCCACAAGAAGTCTTTCCTAATTCCTCCCACTACTAATGCCTTCTGTAAGATTTAAACTCACAAAGATGAGTCTTCTTGAATCCAACACCAGCATTCTATCCACTGCATCACCTAACTGATAGATAGATAGATAGATAGATAGATAGATAGATAGATAGATAGATAGA